TTTACCAGGGCACTGGTGGCAAAACACACATTTAAAAGCAAAAAGCAGCATTAAAAAATGGCGTGTGCACCAGCACCCTGTCCCTGGGTCACAAAGGCAGGAATTGGGAACTGGGCACATTGAGAGATTCCCTGTAATCACCCCGGGAACTGCCCAAGTCCCCCTTGTGTGCCCTCCAAAAAGGTTTTCGGCTTCAGGTGAGACAGATCCTCTTTCCCTGTCCCGCAGGTGGGAACGGGGAGCGTGGAGCGCGTGAGGTTCCTCTTTCCCCATCCACCACTGGCCCCTGCGTGCTGCAGGGCATCGCCCGCYGGTGCTGCCTTCCTCTTTTCTCCAGACCCAAAATAGCCCCCGGACAACGGTGGGGGATGCCGGGGGCGACGCTTCCTCTTTCTGAGACTTTACTGTGGCTGCTGGGAAAGGTACAGGGACTATTGAGTGGGGATGAGCCGAGGGGATGTGGGCGCAGCTGCTRGGGCTGACATCAGGTGTGGGTCCCGTGGGCACCCTCTGGATGCCTGGACCACCCCAAAATCCCCCACTTTGCCATCTTCCTGCAGTGTGGGGGTTGGTGTGAACACCCAGATCATGTGGCTGTATCCCATGGAGCAGTCTGCGGTGGGCTGGGGTCCCGGCATCCCCGGGGGTTCCCCGTGCTCTCCTCTCTGCCCCAAGCAGAAAGCTGCACCCACGGGCTGCCCGAGGGGTTCCTGTCTGTGTCCTACTCTTCCCTAGAAAATGTCAGTAACTCCCTGACTGGTGCCTGGGCTTTCCGACTGCCAGCCGGAGTCCCCCTGTTCCCACCACAAACGCCCTCAGGAGCCACGGGAACAATCTCAGCTGGGGCAAGTCAGACTCTCCTCCTCCGAGGCCAGTTTTGGAGCCYCTCATCGCACCCTTCTGCTCTGAAATGTGTCCCTTAATTCCTGCTTTGTTATCCTGGCTCGTTTGGCTGCTCCCAGCTCTGAAACAGCTCCTGGGGACACCCAGATACTCCGTGTCAGCCACCAGCGCTGCCCCGACCGTGGGGTTTCTCCGGGATTTTTGGACCCACCTCGTCATCTCTTGTTTCCACCCTCGTCACTGGGAATTTCCCCAGCAGCATTTGGGGCGRATTTTCTCATCTCCGCAGTCGCAGAAGAGTCCGGGGAGCCACCAGAGCCGTGGGACAGGAGGGATTGTCCCGTTTCAGCCCCACGGCAGCACCCTGCTGCCCACAAGACTTATCTTCGTGGCCAAGAACACCTCAGGGGGATGCAGGGGACCTGGAGGGACGTGGGGTGAAACCTCTGATCTCGGGGCCTCCCACGCACCCCCAGAATGATGTGCACACCCGGGAGTGTGCATTCCTGTGGGGACATGTGCACTCGCGGGGACAAGGGACATGTGCGGCCGAGGAACCCGGTGTGTGATGGAGTCACATCCCGTAACCGGGACCTCGAGCCCCGCAGCCCGGCTGGGGTTCAAGGGAAGCGTCCCGGGGACGTGGCGTGCAAAAACCGCGCTGCTGCCACTGCAGCTGTGACCAGCTCTGGGCGTCAGCTGGCATTCCTGGGAGCTGGGGGAAGGATCSGTCCCTCCAGCCCTTCCTCGTGCTCCGGAAACGGGCTGGGCAAAAATCCTCCGCCTCTCCGCCTCCTCCTCCCCGCTTCTGCCTGATTTCCCCTGCCCTGCCCAGGGCTGCTCGGGGACCTGTTTCCCACCCCGCTAACCCTGCCCTGGGATCCATCCAGCACCATCTGCCGCTTGGAAGAGCCCAGTTCCCTAAGCTGCTCTAATCCCTGAATCCTATCTGCGCCCCGCAGTCGGTGTGAGCTGCCGGCAACGAGCATCTCCCCGGCTTCCGCAGCCCACGCTCCCGCAGCCCACGGCCACGCTCCCTGCGGCTCTCCCGGCTTTTCCCTGCCCGTGATGTTGGGGCTGGTCGGGCTCTGAGCAGTCCCTGCGCTACGGGAAAATGGGAAATGCTGGGAGAGGCAAGAGAAGAAAAGCAATAAGTGATGCTCGACGCTGCTGCCTCCTGCCTTCCGCTGCCCTGGGAGCGAGGCGAGCTCTGAGCCAGGAGCGCAGGAGGCAGCCCAGGAGATCGGGAGGCAGCAGAGGGGAGAAATCCCCCGGGATCGGGAGCTGTGGGGCAGCTGGCAGGGGAAGAAAAGGAGCGAGGGGCCGCGGAGAGGTGGGAGGACGGTGGGGGGCGGTGAGCCTGAGGGTGAAAAAGCCGAACACTGGAGCAGACAGACCCGGCGGCTCAGGAAGCCGGGGCCGGAGGAGCGAGAGGCTGGGGAGTTCTCCCCCGCTCTCCCCTCTCGCCGAGGAAGCGCAGAGAAGAGCTTCCCGGAGGATGCGGGGCACGGAGGGAGAGGAAGCGCCGGAGACAGCTGCACAACATCTGGCAGCGGCGCGGCCCCCCGAGACCCCGAGGCGGGCGAGCGCGGGGGGGCCGGGCCAGCGCGACGCTTCCTGCCACCCCTCCGCTGCCAGATGTGCACCCCGCTCCCCCCGGTCCTGCACCCCCACCCTTCCTCCCCGCCGGGACGTGCCCAACACCTGCTTCCAGTTCAGCCCCAGTTCGCCGGCGCTCCCAGGACCCCGAGGTCCCCGCAACGCCCAGGGGACACGCGGTCCCGTCACCTCTGGCATTCCCATCCTCTGATGGCCTTCCTGGCTCCCGCGGGGCGGGCTGGGGGGAACGATCAGTGCGTGTCGGCAAATGGGGCGCGTTCCCCTCTGTGACACKGTGGTGCCCTTGTCCAGACCGAGCCCGGGYGTCCAGCAGCCYCGGTCCSAGCAGAACGRGGGCAGGGGGTGCAGGACCACCCCWTCCCGGCCGGCACTTCCCACACAATCCCTCCTGCCCCGAATCCCTCTGGATGCAGACTGCCCGGGGCACGGAGCTGCCCATTGCGCGGCCTCGGCAAATAGCTGGGTAAGGTTGAACAGCAAGACAGGATTAGCCGCAGGCAGGGAAAATAGCCTCTCCCTTCAAAAATAGCTTCCTGGGATTAAAAATAGCCAGAGGTCCCGGAGCCGTGGCTGCGGGGGGACACAGGCACCAGCTGGGCTGGGCCACCCGCTCCCGCGCCGGGGGACAATTAGGGGCATTATGGAGAGCTTAGGGCTGCTCCGAGCCATCTGGTCACAGGCAGAGCCCCTCGCCCCRTCCCTGCAGCCGGGTCAGGCCCCTCCAGGTGATGCCATGAGCCCCACCGTGGGGATGGTCCTCAAATCCTGATTATTYCCCTTTCCAGGCAAGCCATGTGGTGCAGCTGACACACTGGAGGGAAGGGATGTTATCCAGAGGATCCTGGACAGGCTGGAGAAGTGAGCTGTGCTGTCCAGAGGAGACAATGGAGATGCTCCACAAGCTGGAGCATCYCTGCTCTGGAGACAGACTGAGAGARCTACGAGCATTCAGCCTGAAAAAGAGARGGCTCTGGGAGACTTTAGAGCCCCTTCCAGTCCCTAAAGGGGCTTCAAGAGAGTTGGGGCCTCTGGACAAGTGCCTGGAGTGACAAGGCAAGGGGCAATGACTTCAACCTCACAGAGGGCAGGGTTAGRTGGGATATTGGGAAGAAATTCTTCCTTGTGACWGTGGTGAGGYACTGGCACAGGTTGCCCAGTGAAGCTTTAGCAGCCCCATACCTGGAAGTGTCCAAGGCCAGGTTGGACGGGGCTTGGAGCAACCTGGGATAGTGGGAGATGTCCCTGCCTGCGGCAGGGGGGTGGAACCAAATGAGCTTTAACGTCCCTTCCAACCCAGTCCATTCTGTGAGTCCCCAGGGATGTTTTAGGCTCTGCCAGGGCACAGAGCAGGGGTTTCCCTGTGGGTTGGATGGAGCAGGGGCAGGTGAAGTCCAGCTTAGAGTTCTGTGGGTGTTGCACYATATGGGGACTACCCCACCTCCCCGGCACTGGAAACCCCCAGCCTGGGGTGATGCTGGGACATGTCCAGGCACCCCAAATCACAGCCCGCCCCGGGGGTTTCTCCCCTGTGTCACAGGAAAGTGACATCAAAGACGGCCAGCAGTGCCCAGGCTGAGCTCAGGTTTTCCCTGGAAGCTCCAGCACAGGCTGAGCCCTGAGTGCCACAGCACGGGCAGGGGGTTAGCTGCCAGTATCACCAGCACGTTGGGGACCAGAGGCAAAGGTGGTCTCAGTGATAAGGGACAAGGACCAAAAGCCACCAGCGAGCACTCTGTCCCCGCACAGCCTGCCCTGGGAGGTTTGACATTTTCACCTCCACCTCCTGTTTTCTGCTCTCCTCCCACCCAGCGCTTGGAAACGGCTCCTCTTTCTCTCGCTGCTTTTCTTCCCGCATTTCCGCYGGCTGTGGGCTTTACACAACATCTCCCGGTGGAAGAAGGAGAGCGGACACCTCCTCCCACTCCGATGGGTGCACTGGGAGTGCTGGGGCTGGTGGAGAGATTTTAGCAGGAGCCTTCTAAGGAATAAATCCTCAGCCCCTGGAGTCCAAGGAAAGGGCGAGTCCTTGGATCATGCTGCTGCAGCCAGAAAGATGCGTGCGGAGTGACAGTGGGGACAGCTGGCAGGGAATGGCAGTGTCCCAGTCTTGAGCGGGGACAGCCACCCTCGGGGAGCAACGGGGTGGGGGGAGCCTCTCCGTGCCCCCCTCTGCCCCCATTATCATCAGCTCCATCCGTTCCGCAGCCCCCCTCTGCCCCCGCCGGCATTATCCAGCTGATCCCGCTCGCAGCCTCCCTAAGGCACTTACAGGGGTTAAAAACAGCAACTGTCCCAGTCCTGACCCCAGGGGACCCTCCGAGTRCCCAGCTCCCTTGGGGTGCTGGCACTGACCCGATGCAGGGTGGGCACTGTGTGACTCTCCCGTTCCAGTTCGCGTCCTGGTCACCCCATCKCAGCTGGAGTGCTGGGAGCAGGCGTGGGGTGACCCTCCCTTCACTCTCCCCCTGCCTGCACGGGCAGAGAGGTGGTGGGTGACATTAATGGGTGCTGGGCTGGGGCTGTCTGCTGCAAAGTGGGGCAAGGGGGCCCCACAGCACCCAGCTGGTGCCCCCTTCCCAGCGCYCTTCTGCCTGCCTTCCCCAAAATCCCTCCCGAAGACCGAGAGATGAAAGCGGGGTCACGCTGCCCCGCCTGCCCACATCCTTCCCGCACATTCCTCTCCCTCCTTCATCTCTCCGGGGGTGCCCGTCCGCGCTCGGCTCCGCAGCAGCCCAGGCTGGAGGAGACCTTGGCGTTTTCCCCTCTGTTAAAAATAGCCTGAGATTTATTTTCTGGCAGCATGGAAAGCCCCCGGGGCGGCCGAGAGGAAGCAGCCGGGCTGGGGCAGGCAGGGGTGGCGGGGGGAGAGCGCGGAGGGCAGGAAATAACCCCCGGCAGCGGCTGCCCTGGACGGGGAGAAGGCTCAGATGCGAACAGTGTGTGGTTCATGTGGAAACTCCCAGGACAGCAGCCACAGCTCCGGCCCTGAGCATCCTGCGCTCCGGCCAACTGCCTCCGCCTGCTCCCCRCGGCCAAGGTCGGACAGGGCTGGGAACAACCTGGTCTAGTGAAAGGTGTCCCTGCCCATGGCAGAGGGTTGGAACGTGATGAGCTTTATGCTCCTCTCCAACCCAAACCATTCCATGATTACACAGCAGCGCTCCAGCCSCTCTGGACTGTCCCCAGCACCCCTRCCCAAATCCCTGAGTTTGTTCTGGCCCAGCCCCATGTCTTCACGCCCTTCCTAACACCATCCTTCCCACCTGCAACACACAGAGGGGAGGTGGGACGCTGTGGAAGCGCCCAGGGTGTTGCAGAAGCCCTGGGATGCTGGCAGCCAGCAGGCAGGGAGGGCAGRGAAGTGCCGTGACTGAGAGAGCACTTTGCTTTCCACCACTCCTTGCCCCGTCCCCCTTGGGTCCATCCCAAACTATTCCTAGAGTGCTGGGCTCTCGGTTTTGGCCTCTGTCGCCCTCCATGACCCTGCATGGCCATGCCTGGAGGTGGCAGCTGTCTGCACACAAACCACGCAGAGCTCTGTGCTGCTCTCCTCCTCCCGACATTTCAGTGCAGGGGCTCCCACCCACCCGCCGAGGATGCTCAGAGTGCCTCTGCCTGCATGTGCCTCCCATTGCCCCCCTGCCTAAAGCAGGAGGGGGTAACGGGGCTGCCCCCTGTCCTGGCTGGCACTCCCCATGCTGCTGAAGCATTCTGTCCATCCCTTGCCTGCACACCCACGCTCCGGGAGCCCAGGACCCCCAGTTCCTTCAAATCCTCCTTATCCCTCCTCCCCTGGGATGCCYCCTTTGTGCCATTGCCTGCCGTGACCTCCCTGTTTCCCAGAGGGACCAGTTCCCGTTTCCTGGGGACCTTTTGGTTCTTGTCCCCCTTCCCCAGCCACTCCTTATCAGCCTCGCTATCATTTCCTCCCTGTCCACCCACCTGCTTATTTTAGCTGCTTCTTCCTTCCTCTCAGCTGCTTTTGGAGCAGAGTCCGTCCCCGCTCCCCCCCGGCAGCCCCCACCCCAGCCACACCACCCCGTGCCCGCCACAACCTCGTTGTCCCCTCGRCAGCCCGAGCGGGCGATGCCGGGTGCCGGCAGCGCGGGGTGCCAGGACGTGCTGCCCATGGGCACAGCTCCCTGCCCGCCGGCCGGCGATGGAGGCTCTAATTAAGGCAGGATCCTGCCGTCGCTCCTCAGCTAATTGCAGCCTGCGCTGCCCTGCCAGGCTCCCTGGCTCGCCGGCCGGTCCCTCCCCGCGCTGCCTGCGCTGCCTGCCCTCCCCCTGAACCCAGCCTGCGGGCTCTGCCTGCGCCCGGCCTGCCTCCCCCAGCCGGCAGCGCCTTCTGGAACGCTCCACCCTGCAAACCGGTTTGCGAGGCAGCATCTTCCATCAGGGAAAAACCGATGGGTCACATCCCCGMTGCCCCGCCTGCGCCCTGCCCGCATTCCCGCATCCCTCCCTCATCCCCACACCCTGCCCGCATTCCTGTCTCCTGCCGGCATCCCCGCACCCTGCCTGCACACCCGCATCCGTCACAGCGATGACGGATGCACGAAGGGCTCTTCCCCCAGCCGATCCTCGGCGGTTAAATCCCATTCCCAACGCAAGGCTGTGAAGCTCCATCACAGGAGGCTTTGAGGAGAGGGYTGGCAGAGCCATCAGCCAGTGCTGACCCCGCCAGGGACATGCTAGGGCCGCCCCCAGCCCTTTCCCTCCATCACTACCAACCCCCCCGGCAGAGCTCCCAGCAGCGCTGTCCCCATTCCCTCCGTGTTCCGGAGTGCGGGGGCTGCCAGGGAGGGCTCCCAGCGTGGCGCTGCCAGCGGAGTCGGGAGATGTCGGCAGCTCGTTATTTATTTAAAGCTCCATCCTTGCGGGAGTGCCTGTCCTGCAGGAGGGATCCGGCTGCCAGGGACACATTCGGCTGCCAGGGAGGGAGCCGGCTGCCGGGGAGGGATCCAGCTGCCAGGAGGAACGCTGGCCAACAGCCACCCTTGCAGGGGCTGCTCTTCCTGCCCAGGGCTGGGCGATGCCTCCAGCCCCGGGGGAGGACACAGCCCYCTTTGCAGCCACCTCTCCCCCCGCTTGGCACCAGCCATCGAGCGGCATTGGGGGRCACGCTTCCCAACACCCCTTCTGTCACCCTGAGCCGGCGAGTGGGGCTTGGCCTCGCCACCGCAGTGGCTCAGTCCCTCAGTGGTGACAGGGATGTGTGGCTCGGGCGCTGTTTCCAAGGTAACCCTGGATGAGCTCGGCCTCCGCATCCCTCCATGCCCCCGCATCCCTCTGTGCCCCTGCATCCCGCCGTGCCCCCGCAGCGAGGAGCCTCCCAGTGCTGCAGAGGGGCTTGGTCCCTCCAGGGAAAGGGATGGGGATAGGRATGGGGAGGGTACCGACCACAGGGAGSAGGGATAGGGAAGTGGAGAGGTACAG